CCATCCCAATCTCGTACATATTGTTTATGCTCCACCAATCCGTCCCACAAAAATGCGTGCCGTAATTTATAAACGGACCCTTACGGTCTATGATGTTTATCATTCAGTAATTCGAATTGTCCATTCGCTAATTACATTCTTTGGAAATGCGAATTGAACGATGCATGTAATGCAATTCACATCCAACGCAAGCATGAATATGCATTGAATTGATAATGCACTGCATGCATGAAGTGCGATGTGGCAGTTTGACATTGCTCAAACATGCAGTTAGCTAATTGACAATGTCAGTCACTGTTGGTCAAATTCAAACTGCCACACAAAGGCATGCAGTCAGTTTACTATTCGGTGATTTTTCATTCGTTTGATTACATTCCGCCTTTCTTCCAATTCTGTGTATCGGCCTTCTTCTGATCCACACTGTGGTTAATCATCTAATGCTTACTTAACATCTTAGGTTATTTGCAATTCCACAATTTGCACTTTGCCAAAAAGTGTGTCGATGAGCATCTCGCCTTCATTTCGCCTTTTTAGCAGACGACGAGAGACATAACGAAGAAACGTTTCAGGGTTTTCTCACCTCCAGCGGAATAGTGTTCAATCAAATACCATTCGGGACTTTCCCTGACCCTGCTCGCCTCACCTCGTGACCAGGTGGCGGCCAGTTTGGCCGCGGACCCATCAGCTGCCATTGACCGCGTCGGGCTGAGCAACACACCCGACACTCACGTGATACACACGAGGCACGACACTCCACGTGCTGCGCCTCGGAGCGGACTGAGGGCTGGCGCGACGCTGGCCGGTTTCTGTGTGGTCCGGGGTCGCTTTGGCAACGTTCTTTCGGTCATGCAGTGGATTTTTCACGGTCTACAGCATAGATTGTGCTGTAGTTCGTTTGTCTTGCATGTCCAGGAGACATTTACGTTTGAATGGCACATGCCCTGACGCAGGTGCCACAAGCTGAGGCGGTGCGCGGACCTAAACAGGCGTAGCCACATGTGATTCGGGCGACACGTGTAAATGGCCACTGGCAGCCGTGTCGGAGACCCCCCACAAGGAAAATGATAATATCGCCTGAAGCATACCTCCCAACACGTAAATAGACTATTTGGCGCTTTGTGAGGACCACTGCCCTCGCACAAAAGTCCACCCGTACGGGGCAGCGGGTTTTGCGCCGAATTAGGAATGCATCCTGGAATTATGCATGGCGTCTACACGAGCTGCCGTTTCTGCCTGACATCAGCCCTTGTCAAAGGGAGCGTTCTACATTTGTGTGTTTGTGTGTGTGTGTTTTTTTTTTTTACTAAAGTGGCCATGGTGAAGATCATTCAGTGCAGCGTGCATCCCCGCCCTTTTGAAAACCTGCATCCCTCTAGTTTCTGGGCTATGCGTCGCAAAGAGGTGCAGACTTTTTCGTGGAGATTAACGGTCACCCAGACATCCATGACGTCATAATAACGTCATTAAGATTCGGCCGTTCTATAAGACATACGGCAATCAAGACCGAAAAGAATAAAGTGGTCAAGTCAATCCTCTCTGGCGCTCGTGAGCACGATTTCAAGACATAACAGCCCTCAGCTGGCTCTCAGTCAATATTGTACAAGGTCCGATGACGTGATCGCACAATGCCATATTGAGGAGAATATTCACTAAACAGGGGAGTCGAGTTGCCTGAAGCATCCTTGTCTGCCTAAAAGCATACCAATAGTTATGAGTGAGCTTATTTTATCATGTCTCACGCTTGCTTCAATACCTTTCAAATGTGGAAGAAATTTAAGCAAGTGTGATACCCTTTTAAAGTCACAAGCCTGACAGCACCACCCCACGGTGTCTCCCGCCTGTTAACAATACATAAGGATGGATAATTTCTTTTCACTTCCGGTGTTTGAACGTCGAAACATTTTTTGACCCAACATTTTAAAAATTATTCAGGCTTTAGTGCTTTTCAGCTTTCTTTAAGGTAAACATGCTACTACATGGATGGTTGCAGTATATCCCATTTTTACTGGATATGAAGGCGAAAATAATAGTCTCGGTTCCTTTCCGCCGCATTGATTTCAGGTTGGCCTTATTCTACCTAAGATATACATACTGCGAGATTACCTAAGATTTAGATGTATGTATGGGACCCCCCCCCCCCCGGCGTGGACCCCCTCCCCCCCGGCTGGGCAAATTGCCACAGCGACTGAGCCGCGGGCAGCACCCGGTCTCCAGTGGCAAATAGAAGCCTAGTCGCCACCTCGAGAGAGCCCATTCGACCTTGGCCGGGCCTCAGTTCGGTAGGCTGTGGCTGTTTACATAGGAACGCCCAGCAGCGTTCGACGTGTGTTGACATTGACAGCCTTGTGTATGTCGGACACATGGGCTGGCCTCGATCACATGCAGATGTTGTCGATGATGATGCTCTGAATCACATAACGTCGCAACAGCTGTGCAGTTAAATCCCACCCAAAGCCGCTCCGGCCGGGGCGAGCCCGCAGCGGGCCTGGGGCGGACACCAGGACACCATTTTGACTGAGCTGCCCGATCTTTCACTGCACAAAACCGGAAATGGCCTCGACGCAGCGTGAACTGAATGCGGCATACTTGGTGATGCGTTCCGTTGCTGTCTGTGAGCTTCAGTCAAATGCATGACAAACACGGCGTATTTGTCAAACGATAACAACGTTACTACCTGTCATTTCTAACTTGTATAACGCAGCACAAGGCTGTTGATGCTGTGCGGCACAGTCCCGAGCCAAGCACGAGCCCCCAGCAGCAGACAGGTCAGAGGGGTGGAGTGATTGATGTCCAGCCCATCGTTCGTCAGGCGTGGAAGTGAAGCTGGACCGAAGTCGAAGTAAGCCGAGAAGTCTGCTGTGGGTGAAGTGGGTGATAGGCGTCCATTGTCATTTGGCACTAATTCGGTGAGGTGCATGAAATGAAAACTAAGGAATCACCACCGTATCTAATTGCTTTAAGGTCTAGTTCGAACGTTTTGACTTGATAAGCTCTGGGACCAGCACCCACGCTGAGTGACGTTCGTTGCGTGAGCCCTGACACCCCCACCTGATCGTGAAACTCCGGCCCAACGGCATCATTTTACTAAAAGCTAAAAAAGCTAAAATAGCTAAAAACAGGAAGCTAAAAATACCGCAAAACTTGACCCTATGAGTTCTATCCTCAGGGGGCCAGCAGCACCTTCTGACGTTACTTGACCTTTTCCACACTCACTTATACTGGCCGCAGTACACGCCATGGGCTAAACAGTGGGCACATAAAGCGACATGCCCGTCAAAGCAAAGCTCCCTCCCTTCCGTACCTGATCCCCATGCCTCCGTTGTTTATAGCGTCCGCATTCCGACCCACCTGCTGGCGACGGGGAGGTTAGACTCGCTTTAAGCGCTCATTATTTAGCTCTGGCTGGCACGAACTGCAGCCGGAAGCAATGAGTGCGGAAAGGTCAAGTGAGGTCGGAGGGTCCTGCCTCCAGGGTGGGAGGGGCAGTGCCAAGCGTTGTGGGACGTTAAGCTGTCACGTATTATTCTGCACTTGGCCTGCTGTTTTACAATCGCATGAGGGTGTCAGGGCTTACGCAACAAACACCACTTAGCGTGGAAGGTGATCCCAGAGATTATCAAAGCAAAGGTCGGGACAAACACGTTATAAAAAGGATGGCCCTGTTGGCTTAAATGGGTGCCCGCCACGATTTGCCCGATATGCGAAGCAGCGCCGACTGCACGGCAGCCTGTTTAGCTCCCCTAGCACAGCAGTTCATGTTCAGCTCACTTAGCACAGCAGCCTGTTCAGCTCACTTAGCTCATGTTCAGCTCACTTAGCACAGCAGCCTGTTCAGCTCATTTAGCACAGCAGCCTGTTCAGCTCACTTAGCACAGCAGCCTGTTCAGCTCATTTAGCTCATGTTCAGCTCACTTAGCACAGCAGCCTGTTCAGCTCACTTAGCACAGCAGTTCATGTTCAGCTCACTTAGCACAGCAGCCATGCCCAGCTCAGCACAGCGCCTCATCTTCAGTTCACGTAACACAGCTCATGTCCAGTTCATTCCAGTCAGGTTTCACTAGCACACCGTCAAGGAATAAGCCCGTTTTCAACGGCTCCACCCCACTGACCTTGATGCCGAGACTTCATCCCACTGACCTTGATGCCGAGACTCCACCCCACTGACCTTGATGCCGAGACTCCAACCCAATGACCTTGATGCCGAGGCTCCACCCCACTGACCTTGATGCCGAGGCTCCACCCCACTGACCTTGATGCCGAGGCTCCACCCCACTGACCTTGATGCCTAGACTCCACCCCACTGATCTTGATGCCGAGGCTCCACCCCACTGACCTTGATGCCGAGGCTCCACCCCACTGACCTTGACGCCGAGACTCCACCCCAATGACCTTGATGCCGAGGCTCCACCCCACTGACCTTGATGCCGAGGCTCCACCCCACTGACCTTGACGCCGAGACTCCACCCCAATGACCTTGATGCCGAGGCTCCACCCCACTGACCTCGATGCCGAGACTCCACCCCACTGACATTGATGCCGAGGCCTTGCGCCTGGATCAGGACTGTTCCGCACGGCAGTTTTGTGCTGCGTTACAGTCTGCGGTTCTTGGATTGACATCTGAGAAAGAGTGTACTACAGAGCACAGGGACTTAAGTTTTGCTGTAGCTGTACCCCTGGTTCTGAAATACCAACTGAGTGTCCGTGTTTAATGGGGCAATTCAGCCACCGTGCGACCAACTAATTGTGAATTTATACTCGTCGCATTTTCCAAACTTCCCGGAGTAGCATAAGTATGCATTCCATCGCTTAGTGTATGCGTTTCGATCTTTTAGCAGTACCCACAGTTATGTATACTCTTAATTAGGTGTTTGCGTAATTGCCTCACACAGACCAATTTCGCCATTCGTGCGTAACCTGATGGTAAGATTTCACACGCACTGCTGCCGCGACGGGAGGGGGTAGTTCAAGTGCACAGCGTTCTCCCACAATAAAACTACAGGTCAGAATAAATAATGACTTCATATATTTGTATAAGCCACGAACAATGAAGAAAAGATGAAATTCTACAGTATGAATGTCTGTCCGTCTATTAAAATGTACACGTGTGTCATCTGAGGGTCATGGTCAAAAGAAACACCGAGACGTCATCTCCATAAAAAGCGCGCGGCTCTACTGGCGAGGCGAGGAGACACTGAAAAGAAGCAACATAACAACAACGGCCGACATTCTCGTCACCGACAGCGGTCAAAAGCCTCCATCCTCGTCTACGGGCTAGATACACAGGGCTATGTCGGCCGGCGGCGGCGATGGTCTCCTGCCAGCGAGGAGCCACTCCGCCAATCCCAGTGCCGATCACAAACGCAACAACCAATCAGCGGCCGCGCCGGAGCAGCGCTGCGAAACGAGAGCGAGAGCGAGAGACAGAGCGCGCAGAACGGAACCGGAGAGAGCGCGGGGCGCAGGCGGACCTGTCCGCGCCGTCGCCCGCGCGGGACATCAAACATTAATGTTGCACAAAATAGCTGGTTATCGGTAGGCCTCGCAGCGGTCGCGGCGCCAGCACTACGCCGCTCTCCCCGAGCCGCTCTGACGGCCCGATCGCGGCACCGTGGCCACGCGCGCTCCCAGCAGCGCGACGGCGTTCCTTTGCATCAGTCGAACTCAGAGCCGACGCGAAACGCACCACTTTGTGCCGCCGGCGCGCGGCGGCCGCAACGCCATCCCGCCGAACAGGAACACGGCGCGCGGCAGGAGCCGCCGCTCGCGTCCGCGCCCGTCTGCGCGCGTTGCCCGTGGCAACCAGGCAGAGGGCGCCGCCGAGCCGCCGGCAGGTGGCAGCACCAGTCCGCGCTGACTAGCCGCCGCGCGCCGCCCGCCGCCGAGCGGCATCACATCACATTCGCGGCGCGCGCGCGCCGTCCGTCGGCCGCGCCACTATTGCACCACACAGCACTTGCCGCGCGGCTTCTTTTTCAAGGTCACCTGCTCCACCTGCGACGCGTCCTCGGGCTTCACGAGCGTGTGCTGCACCTCGACGGTGCCGGGCTGCTGGGCGGCCACGGCCGTCTTGACCTGCGGCGCCGGAGCCGAGGCGCCGTTGCGGCGCGTGGCGTCCGCCGGGCCGTCGGGCCGGCCGTCGCCGGGCGCCGCCGCCACGGACGTCTGCACGGTGGCGGCGACGAGCGGCTCGCCGGCCGGCGCGCTGCCGTTGGGCGCCGGCTCCACGTGGCCGTTGGGCCCCTCGGCCGGCGGCGCGTCGGCCTCGTCGAGGCTCGAGTCGAGCGGCCGGCCCGACTGAATGGCGCGCACGATCTGGTCGGCCTCCTTGCTCAGCTCGCCGCCCGGCCGGAACGGGTTCTCCCAGCCGGCGTCCATGCTGGAATGGGAGGCGCCCGTCAGTGGTGTCCGCGTGACGAAGTAAGCAGGTACAGTGGAGCATGCATGCCATTAATGACCGCCAGATGTCAGCGCGGAAAAGGTCAGCACAGCTTCCACCCGGTACGAATAGTTGGCGCTATCAGCCGATAGAGCTGACAGAGGGTACGAACAGCCCGATATCGCATCGCAGGTCATGAGTGGGGCAGTTAATACGAAGCGGATGAGACCAGCAGGGGTAGAACGTAGGTGAGGAGAAATCAGGCAGTGACTTGGAGGATGGATACGACGGCTCATTAAGGGCGCCTGCCCAGATGCTTTTGCACGACCCATAACAATACGGCATGACATCGAGTAGGTTCTATAACAGAAGCTCCATCAGTAAACTCCATCCGTTCACATGTTTTTCAAAAGTCGCGCTAATTTAAAGTGGTACCCATCTAAGAACGCCGTTCCTTGTTGATGGCCAGCCTCTCATTAGCGAGCCGAGCCTTTTCTTTTTGTGGAGCCAAGCCCCACAAAAACACAGGGCAAACAGTCAGCTGGTGGCAGCCACAAAGCAGCCGCCATTTGGGGAGCTTATGAGCTCCACCAGTCCAATAAGTTCTTACAGAAGTGGGCGATAACAACGAAAATCAACGCACTTATTTGTGGAGCACATTGATTTCGGATCAGCTGAGTCGATAGACATAAAATGTGTTCGGTTTCCCCAGGCCTCTCCAGTGAAAAACGCGGAACCACACATATATAGTTGAAGAACCTATGTAACATTCGAAAAGGATGGTATGATTATCTTGCCATGAGCGTTTAGGACAAGCAGCAGCATTCTGCTATTTTTACCCGACCCCCTGTCGATCTCACACCGAGCTGGAAGATTCGTCTGCCACTTACAACCACCTGCCTTCATACCAACCGACGGATGTTTCTAGCTAAATCTTATGAGTTGCACCGAAACCAATCTTCACTCCCGACCCAATCTCCTCCTCAGAAAAGATTTGGACGGCCAAGGTCTGCGCCCCGGGGAATGCGCTAGGTGGGCCGCCTTTTCCCCGAAGTCCGGCACTCCACGATACGATACGATCACCTTCCGAGCCGGGCTAAATCCAACATATCTTTAACCTAGCCCATCTGACCAGCCATCTGGCTAAACCATCCGACGGTCACGGCAGATGGAGTTGACGGCAGACAGCCGCACCGCCGCCGGTGACGCGGCGGCGACCGGCTGTTGTCATGGCGACCGAAGACACGCGATGTCCGGAAGGAGAGCCGTTCACCCAGGGCTTTGCCCGTGCACGACTGGAGAGTGGACGGTAGCTCGCGGACGCAGCGTGGGAGTGTGCAAGAGCGCTGCCAGCGGGTGGAAAGACTCCGCGGCGAGCCGGTGATGGAGACGAGAAGAGGGAACTACCGGGACAGTGGCATTGGAGAGGTCGTGCGGCAACGACGGTACACCAAACGAGTTTCACACGTAGAACACGATTCTGGGGCAGAACGTATTGCGCATAGATTAATAGTAACAGCTACAGAAAACCAAAACCTGGTTGACGCCATGAACGGATCTGATTTTCGCGCTGTAACACTTTTCCCGTACCACTAAGCTGTTGCAGTCACTGGTGGTTAAGAACGCACACCACAGAAACGTACGAAAGGAAACGGTGCCTCTTTATTTAGTGAGGACTCAGGCGCGACCGACTGTGTTGGCCATCCGCGCGGGCACACCATCTGGGGTGTCAACAACAGGCCTGTTTATTCTGCTCCGGTGTGCCAACAAAGGGTTATCCTTATCGTACCCAATCACTTCTCTCGCAGGACTAAATCAGACCATCCTTATCCCGAAATATTCCGTCCGCCTCTTCCGACTACGTTCCCTCGTCTTCCCACAAACACAACCACTTCATTTTCGCCACTTGAAACCCTTCTCTCCGTAGCGCTGTCTCTCCGGGTCTCTCTGACAGTCCCACCGCGTCTATTCACTAATCGTGGCCTGATTCTGCCGCCCATTCGGCGCAGACAGTTCAATAGCACAGACACGAAGCGTATCAAGCACAAAGTCATGCAGCTGACACGACTCGGCATTCGAATGCTGAGAGCATCTATTCATCGCAGCGGCGCCGAGCCGTAAGATAAATGAACGTCCCCTTTTGTCTCGCCGGATGCTGGGCACAAAGGCCGGGCAAAACACGCCGGCTCCCGCAGCCGACCCCGACCGCGCTCTGCTCGACCGCATGAAAAGATGACAAATTACATGTTTCCCAAGCAGCCATCTTTGCAGGCAGCCAAGGCTCCGTCCACAACAGCAGTTACGAAACACGGCATCACGGCGGCGGCTCGGCGGAAATGTTTCCCTATTCGGGCGCCGGGCGGCGCCACCGTCGCATCGCCTCCGACAAGGCCATAAACTGCGACGAACAGCTCAATCGGGACTAACTCCATTCAGCCCATCACGCGGCACTTATTCAATCTGTCGCCGAGTGTCATGGAACTGCGTCGTTTCGCCGCCAGGAAGGCACCGCGCCAAATGGCGCGGCCGGGCCCGGCGCGCCCCGGAGAGACCGGCACGAGGTGCAGACAGACGCCCTCCGACGGGTGCCGTCCCGTCTCCGAGCTTCTGTGAACGGTGCAGCGGCAGCATGCGAGCCGGTGCAGTACCGCTAGCTGCTGCTGCGGTGCTGCGGTCGCCTGCGGTGGCATCTGTCATACTGCGGCGGCGGCAGTCAGACCGACAGGATCAGTCGGCTTCCCGATTTGTGCACCGGTTGAGACGACGAGACCGTGCTGCGACGCAGCGCCGTCGCTGCCTGCGCTGAGCTGGCCTCCAGCCCTCGCGCAGCCCAGCCACCGGCGTCACGTGGTCCCCTGGGCCGCTGGCGGGGTCGTCCGGCCATCCGGCACCTGGTGACGTCATCTGGGATCGGGACGGGTGACCGCACGAGATGGCACGATCGGGGCCTCATACTTCTGAACGGGTCACCGTCAGGAGGTTAAAGTCCACGATTTCGGTGGAAATGGCATTTACTACCGACGATTTTAGGCGCTCGGCTTCGGACTCCTATTGAAGTCTCTCTGCCATTTATGCGTAGATTGATTTATCGCTGACTTCGGTCTCTTTTGGGGCCTTGATAATGACATTTAGTCTCCACGGCGCTTTTTGCTGAGGAGATGTTGCCACACTGGTCACGTCAGCAGGTCACCCGATCATATCAGGTCATGAGGTCACCCAAACGCGTCAGGTCATCAGATCACCTCGCTGAGTCAGGTCAACAATGCCCCGGAGCGCCGCGCAGCCCGCAGCCGCGCGTCCAGCTGCAGTTCCAGCCGGCGGCCGCCAGACGTCTCGCCGATCGCGGCCGAAATAGCGCCCTGATCGCCGTCGGAATGCCACGGCCGGCCACCGCCTGCTCTCAGGCCGCCGGCTCGTCTGCCAGCCCGTCTGATGGCTGGGCCGGGCCGGGTCGGACCGGGCTAGCCGGCCACCGTCTGCTCTCAGGCCGCCAGCCCGTCTGCCAGGCTGTCTGGTGGCCGGGCCGGGTCGGACCGGGCTAGCCAGTCACCGTCTGCTCTCAGGCCGCCAGCCCGTCTGCCAGGCTGTCTGGTGGCCGGGCCAGGTCGGACCGGGCCGGGCTGGCCGGCCACCGTCTGCTCTCAGGCCGCCGGCCCGTCTGCCAGGCCGTCTGGTGGCCGGGCCGAGCCGGGCGGCAGCTGGCGCTGTCTAGTCCGGCCCCGGACCGGCGCTCACACCCCCGCTGCTGGCTCGTGCCTGGCCAGGTAACCAGCCGACTCAGAGCTTCTGATGCCTGGTGCGGGACTGCCCACTGTCGCTGGCTGCTGCGGCAGCTGGCACCAGCAGCCGACATCTGGTCTGGGCTGGCTGCCGACGGTGCCTGGCCTCCGTGAGAGTTCCGTTATATCATGCATGGCCCGGGGGTAGACATTTCTGCAACCTGCTCCCTGTATTCCTCTAAGAGGGTGTTCATTCAAAATCCCTTGAATTCAAGCAGCCTACGAGCCTGAACTCTAGCAACAGGATCCCAGCTGGAATATTTGCACTATGGCTACAGACCAGACAAGTGCAGGATTTGCCCTCCCACGTCGCTCCAGATCCAGATCGCCGTTGTTTAAGTCTTCTCAACAAGCCTCCGCAGGGGAACAGAATCTGCGCAGCCGTCCGCCGTGGACCTTCGCCATCCGGTCCCGAAGCTTTTCAGAGCCTCCCCCAGCCCAGTGCCCCTACCCCATATGTAGTTCGAGTCCCACCACTGTCCCAGGGCCGCTCCCCATCTCCGTCCCACCACTGTCGCGGGGTCGCTCCCCGTCTCAGTCCCACCACTGTCCCAGGGCCGCTCCCCGTCTCACCCGCATTGTTCATGGAGTCCCACCACTGCTCAAGGGTCCTGTCCCCGTTCCACCTGTATTACTAGTCGCGCGAGCGTGCGGCGCTCAGTCTCTGTCCCACCCGCGCCTTACGTCCCACCTCGGCGCCAGTCCCCGCCTCTGAGCCGTATCCCTGTTCTGTCCCAGATCCCAGCTCTGACCGGTGCCGCGCCAGACAATGCCGGCGGCCGGCGGCCGCCTCGTCCCGTCGCCGTCAGCGACGTAATTCCGTCATCCATCAGCGGCCGAAGGATCGGCCCCGGGCCCGGCTGGCACAGGTGAGGGGGCGGGGCGGGGTGCCGCCTCAGGCGGTCGCCAGGTCGCCCCGTCTCGAGGACGACCGGCTCCGACCCAGGCCGGGGTACCGCGGCGCCTGCTGAGGAAGGCCAGCCGTGGTGCGGTTCATCCGTGTGATCCAGGCGTTGGGCACCAAGGACGGCAGTGACGGCGTGGCCAAAACGCACGCCGATCACAGCGGGGAGTGGACACCCGGTCCGCGAAGCCACGCGGTCCACGACCTCTCAGCCGCGGGACGGACCCTTCAGCGCCATCTGAACACGCCGGCAGATTACCTCTGGGACGAGACAAAGACACGAACCACAAGAAGGCGACGCACGACACCCAGTCATC